AGATCATGCTTTTTTTTTACACTAGGCTGAATCCAATGTTTTTTTTTATGTGGCTGATTTTCTAGTTTTTTTATTTTGCGTTGGTTGTTTTTTCAGCCTGTTTGTATGAGTGTAGGCTGAGCACTCAGCCTTGTATGGGGTGCACTGCACACTGAAACCGGCAAACTGTGATTTCCGCTAGCCTGGCGAGGTGTAGGACTAAACACTGTCAATCACGGGCTGGAAATCGAAATTTCCCCCGCGTCCCCCACACAGTCCCTCTTCTTTTGCTTGCCCCTCCCCCCAGCCCACCACTTCCACACGAAACTCCCCCAAGCCCGCGTGTTTTACTCGAATTTCCTCCCCCCAACCCACTTCACTCACTCGAATCTCCCCCCACCTCAGCCCACCTCATTCGCTCGAATCTCCCCCAGCCTACTTCATTCACTCGAATATCCCTCCAGCCCACTTTATTCACTCGAATCTTCCCCCAGCCCACGTCGTCCACTACCCCACTCGGCTCTCCTCCAGCCAACCCCGATTCTCCCCTCAGCCCAGGTGGCTCTCTCACCCCTACCCCCAGCCGACCTACTGGCCCCTCCCCAAAGCCCACCTGCTTCCCTCGTCACTCCCAAACCAACCATACAAATTTTTCATGTTGTATCTGTAATTCCTTATTCTGCTTAATATCAAAGCTATACACAATCAGCGTATTTTTTTAATGAACGCTGAATTTCCAGCGTTATTTTCCTAGGTAACGCTGACTGCCAGGGTTTTTTTCCGTACCAAGGCTGATGGGTCAGCCTGGTCCAAAACGAATCTAGGGGCCTGATCCCAACCACTAGACTATTGGGATAAAATGGCTTGTTTGTGTAGCGGTCCGAGCGCCCATAACCCCCCAGACGAACGCGCCTGTAACCCCCACTTAGGATCAATCGGGATCTCACAGTGCAGATCTACTGACACCCCCCCACACTGGGAGGTCCAGGACTGAGCACAGCGGCAACGGCCTACATGTGCATACACCGAGATTTGAACCCGAGACCGCTCTGATATCATGTCAGAATCCCAACCACTATACTATAGAGATAAAAGGGTTTGTTTGTATAGCGGTTCGTGCGTCCATAACCCCCCAGGCGAACGCGCCTGTAACCCCCCCCAAGTATCAATCGGGATCTTACAGTGCAGATCTACTGACAGAACCAAGCCGAAAATGTTCTGATATGTGTATTTGAATATTGGCCGTTCGATATGCAATAACATTCATGTTTTTTAATGTTTTTCTCTACGCCTATAAGGGTTTAAGCGCTTTCTAAGCATTTGTCGGCAAAAGCAACCGAAATCATAGGCGCCGAACTTTTCTTTGCGCAAGAATGGTTGTTTTCTGATCTTTGCCATTCGTCTTCATCCTTGGTAGGGCCTTGACTTTGTCACGTACACAAAAATCAAATTAATTCAGGATTGTAACAATCTCTACTTTTCCATTCTCTGGGAACTCAAATGAAGGGTTTAGACAATGTTTGAATTCAGCATTCAAATATTATTTTCATTAAATGTTTCATGTGTTTGTAATTGTAGTTTTTTACTAGTGGGTTCTCGAACAGACATTTTGGGCTTCGTTGAAGCTCCCAGCAAGTGGTCGCCCATCCTACGTATTCGTTGCCCTTGATCATGGTAGGTTGAATATTAGCTGTTCGGGTTTCTACTCTTGTTCTTTTGCTCACCTGAACTTACTCTCTAGGCTCTAATCTTCGCACGGGTTAGTCTCCTTGTACCCTTTTCCGAGGTCAAATGCACCAGTATTGCGCAGTATGGAAACGCTGGATGCAAGTGTCCACCGCCATATGGTTCCTGTTGTATCGTTCTCTTTGTGCATGTCTTCTCTCGCCTCGGATTTTTCTGGAGCAGAATTGTCTTATTTACTGCTTTCTTCTCGCTGTTGTCGCCCCGCTTCCTACTGTGTTGCATGGATGTGGCAGGTGAAGACTCGAGGACGTCATTGACAGAGTAAGCGCCTTCCGCCTTGACACTCTGCATCCGTCGTTTGAGCTCGTTCAGTCGTCATCTCTTTTTCCCTGTTGCGATCGTTTCCTGAATAAACTTAATCCTGTTATTCCATCTTTCGCCTGCTCTCAACGTCTGTGTTCTCCGTTTGCCCACCTTGCGCGCCTGCTTGCAGGGAGGCAGTCGTTTAACATCTGCCGAGGACAATGTCGGACGGGTACGCTTCCTGTCTTTTTCTCTTATCTCTTTTCTTCGCCCCTTTCGCTCGTGTGTGTGCGTACCTGTCGCCTCACCGCTCTCTGCTATCATCTCTCTCCACACCCGTAACCAGTTTCTCCCTCCCTCGTCCCCCCCTGCCCCCTCCGCGGCGCGGCGCAGAGATGAGCCCGTGGCGATTGAGGCGGAGGTCGCCGCCGTGGAGGCGGTCGTGGAGGCCCCCGCCGAGGCGATGGACACGATGACGGCGCTGCAGCGCGTGCTCAAGAAGGCGCTGGCGCACGACGGGCTGGCGCGCGGGCTGCACGAGTCGGCGAAGGCGCTGGAGAAGAGCAGCGCGCAGCTGTGCGTGCTGGCGCAGGACTGCGACCAGGAGGACTACAAGAAGCTCGTCCAGGCGCTCTGCCACGAGCACAACATCAACCTCATCCAGGTTCGTTTCCCGTGCGCCGCCTGCAGTATCCAGGTGCGTTCCCCGTGCACCGCCTCGTACATGTTTGCGCCGCTGCTGCGGTAGCCGCAGTCACGGGAGAGGGCTTTCTCCGCCGTGCGGTGTCAGGTGGCTAGCTATCGGCGGGCTTTGGCGCAAGGTCAAGGTGGCGACGTGAAGGGGCAAGGTAGTGGCAGGGAGTAGGCTTCCCCGCCACGGACTGCTCATTCCAGCAAAGTTCTTTTTTGGTAGCAAGGGGAGGCTGCGACAGCAGACGGTCAGCAAATAGTTAGCAGACAGTCAGAGGTCAGCAGCTAGTTAGTAGTCAAGCAGAAGACAGACAGCGGTTAGTCAGCAGACGGTCAGCAGTTAGTCAGCAGCCGGTCAGCAGTTAGTCAGCACACGGTCAGCAGTCAGTCAGCAGGCGGTCAGCAGGCGGTTAGCTGATAGTGTGCCCTGCGTCGGATCTGCTTGCACGCTAGCTTGGGGGCGTCGCTCTGGTGACAGGTTAGCAAGTGCGTGCCGACTGCTGCCGCTGCAGGATTATAGACAGTGCCGATTGCGCCGATGCAGTGGCCCCTCTGCGCCAGCATGTACCGGCCGTGTAAAGCGGTCTCGTAAGGCGGGGTGCTGAGTTGTGTGGTGGCTCGTGTGCGTGCCTGGGTGCGTGGCTGGCAGGTGCCGAGCGCCAAGACGCTGGGCGAGTGGGCGGGGCTGTGCAAGCTGGACTCGGAGGGCAAGGCGCGCAAGGTCGTCGGCTGCGCCTGCGTCGTCGTCAAGGTCAGCCGGGAAAGAGGGCGCGCTGCTCCAGTATGGGGGGAGAGGAGGGGAGAGGGGAAGGGCTGCTGCGCATGGGGGTTTTGTGAAGTGCATGGAGTTTGGCGAAGTGCACGAAGGTTTGTTACTGCGCATGGGGGTTTGTGCTGCGCATGGGGGTTTGTGCTGCGCATGGGGGTTTGTGCTGCGCATGGGGATTTGTGCTGCGCATGGGGGTTTGTGCTGCGCATGGGGGTTTGCGGTGCGCATGGGGGTTTGCGGTGCGCATGGGGGTTTGTGCTGCGCATGGGGGTTTGTGCTGCGCATGGGGGTTTGTGCTGCGCATGGGGGTTTGTGCTGCGCATGGGGGTTTGTGCTGTGCATGGGGTTTGCGGTGCGCATGGGGGTTTGTGGTGCGCATGGGGGTTTGTGGTGCGCTTAGGGACTTGCATGGGTGGTGCGCGTGGAAGAATGCTGGTTGGTGGTTATGGGCAGCGCTTGCATGTGAATTTCACATGTTGCACATATGGCCGTTTGGTTCTGTCGTACCTCATTATGGGGCAAGTGGGGGTTGACTTGTGAGTGTCCATGCGGTTATTTCTCTGGTGAAGCGAGGGCAACCACCATCCAGAGCTTGAGCATGCGACAGGATCTGAAAGGACATTCGTGGTTGTGTGTGCGCGTGTGTGGTTGGGGTGGCAGGACTATGGCGAGGAGACGGAGGCACTGAACGTGCTCAACGAGTACCTCAAGTCCAAGTAGCCCGTTGTTGCTGCTCTCATGCCCACGCCCATGGGCAGATGCACCTTGTGGCGCTGTAGAGCTGCTGTGTTGCCTCTAGTGAAGCTGCTCAACTGCTCATGAACCACTGCCCAGTTGCTTTGGCTGCCTGTGCCCTGTCATGTAAAATTCATTAATTACTTGAAAGGGCAAGATTGGCACCAGTTAGAGAGCGTGTTCCCACGCCTTGTAGCAAGTGATGCTCATACTGAATTCCCCTGAACCCTAAATCCTTCTTTAGTTTTTCCAGGCAAGTCTGATATGAAGTTGACTGATATGATGCGGAGGACCACTGCCCTTTTTACATTGACACCATAACTGTATCGTATCCAGCATGACGTTTGAGAGTACATAGACAAATACATATTGTAACAACACCCTCATTTTCCTACACTTTGTACATGCTATCAGTAATATTTTGTATTGATCCTAGGCTAATCCTTGTCAACTATTGTGGCCTCCACGTCCACCACTCTGTCAGTCCCTGTAGCCCTCCTCCATCCCTGCTTGTCTTGAGATTGTGACCCTGTTGCATGGCATGGCACACGCACACCATACCGGTACATCAGCAACTATGCCATGGCATGTGGAGTGAACAAGGCACATCTCATGAGGTGACAACAGGAATGCACAGTGCAACTTGCCAGCCTTACCTGATTGTGCAGCAAATCCACGGCTGCTGCCGTGTGCTTGCTGAAATTGACCATCTTCATCTGAGAGCAACAGACAGGGTGTGTTAGCACACGGAAAGTAGAGGCAAAGATGGGAGAGGAGAAAGCACACAAGTGCTGCGGAGCAAGCATAGGTGGTTAAAGCCAAAAAGTGGTGGGTGGGGTCAGTGAGCGGACGAAATCGCATGAGAAGCAGGGAAGTGGAGAGAGTGGGATAGGGGAACTGACACTTCATGGAGCGCAGGCAGGAGGGGCACACTGGAGCTCCATGCGCCACCGCATTCCTGCTCATGTTGGAGGGGAAAGTGATGCCGTGCAGCTCGCACACACACACACACACACACACACACACACACACACACACACAATCACATACACACACACGCACACACACACAATCACACACACACACATGAACAGTGCGGACGCGAGTGAGGGGCGCTGGTCCAAACCAGCGTGGCGGGAGATGGGAATCTGGCGGAAGAGATGGGCGCAGGCAGTGACTAGTGAAGGTTGAGCGGCTGACACAAAAGACCATGTGACGAGTCAACTTGTGAGTGTGCAGGCAGTGCTGCTATGTAGCGCTCTCCCTGACCACTTCCCATTGCGCTGAGCCCCCGCAGCCAATTCAGCCCGCTCGCAGCAGTGAGGGCGTGGGGCGTGCCCCCTGGGCTCACCTGTCGAAGGTGAACTGGTGGTCGCACCACGGGCACTGCGCATACGGGTGGGGGGGCACCGCACACCGCACAGCACAATGGGGTGGGAGACGCTGAGAGGTAACGCGAATTCGCACGCGAGTTTCGACCAAAACGTTTGAAAAACGAAGAGCTTTGTTTCTGAGATATCCGAGGCATTATTATGGCGTGGCACGTTTGCAAAGATTTGAAAGTAAACGAAGCTCCCAATGAACCAAGCGGGAAGCGGGAGGGGAAGGGAAAGTGGGAGGGGAAGCGAAAACGGCGGGGAAGGGGAAACGGGGGGGAAGGGGAAACGGGGGGGAAGGGGAAGCGGGAGGAGAAGGAGAAGAGGGAGGGGAAGGGGAGGCGAGGGGGGAAGGGGAGGCGAGAGGGGGAAGCGGAGGCGAGAGGGGGAAGGGGAGGCGATTGGGGGAAGGGGAGGCGAGGCGGGGAAGGGGAGGCGAGGGGGGGTACATTGGCGACGGCGAGCGAGGAGGTGAGCTTGCCGACGATCCACGTGGCCGTGGTGAGCGCCACGTCCAACAGGTAGAACACGAACTGCCGCCAAGCACACACAGGCACGGGGGACCGGGGTGTGGGGGGGGTGATGAGGGGGAATGGGGGAGGGACAAGGACCGTTTTGAGAGGAACGGGAAGGAAGGCGGAGGGAGTGAGATTGCAGCGGAGGGGCGAAACAAGAAAGCGACCGGCCGCGAGGCGCAGACGGAAGGGACGCATGCGACCGATGCGAGAGACGGGAGACATGCGAGAGTGAGAGCCCAACGCTGCAGCGCCGCTACGTTCGGCGCGCGGCGCGACGCACCCAGAGCTGCGCGACGCCCTCGAGCGCGCCGTCGCCCAGCCACCCCAGATGGCCCTCCGTCGCGAACTTGAGCCACGTCACCGCCGCCAGCACGGCGCCGCCAATCAGCAGCCGTTGCGCGTCTCCCACGCACGCCCGCGCGCCCCCTTCTCCCGCGCCCATCCCCATCCACGCGGGACCCGCTCCCCCCGACGCTGATCTACCCGCATCCCGCCTGCCCCTCTCCTCCCCCTCCTCCCCCTCCTCCCCCTGCCACATGCCCCCCTCTGCGCGCGCTTGCGCGTGACTGCGGTCATCCCGCGCGCGCGACGATCGCCGGCCGAAGCCGTTGAAGGAGGCGCGGCAGCTGCGGGGACGGGGGCGCGGATGGAGAGAGGTTCAGGGCTTAGCGATGGCAGCACGTGGTCGGGCACTGGGAGGTGCCAACGGGGAGCGAGGGCAGGCGGACGGGGAGGAGGGAAACAGGGCGACGGCGGCGACGAGACCGCCAATGTGGCCCGCGCATGGGGGAGACGACGGGTGAGGGTGACACTTGGCACGGCGAGCAAGCAACGAGAGCGAGCAACGCACCTTATCGACTCGCGCGCTCTGGGGGCCGATAGGCCCGAGCGACCAGCGGAGTGAAGGAGCGGGAGCCGGGGGAGGAGCCCGCTTGACGGCACACGCGGATCACCTGCGCACCGCCGTTGCCCTCCCCGCGGAAGCAGCGGCAGGCGAGCGCCATGCGAGCCGCGAACAACGTCCATCCACAAGCTGCCGGCGGCGAGTCTGGAGGACGTCATGGCGCGATGCGACGAGGGGCGAGGGGCGAGGCGGGTGAGAGGCGAAGTGAAGAAGCGTTGGTGAGGCGAGAAGAATGAGGTGAGGAGGTGCAGGGCTACTGTAATGTCGGATGGAGCAGGGTGGAAAACACATCAATGAGCAGTGCAGTGGGTGCAGATTTGGGCTGGTCGGGCTGGGTGGGAGCGTGTCCCGCAGATGTGGAAGGGCAGCGCGGGCCAATGCGAGGGAAGGCGACCGTGACGTGGTCCCACGCAGATCTTTGCTGGCTGAGCGGGAAACTGGCATGTGCTTGAATATCGCCTGTACGCGCCGTTGAGAAGCCCCCCATATGTATAGTAATACAACGTTTCAACATGCAAGTGGCTATACATGGGAAAACAACCTCTCAACTTCTCCATACATTTTTTTTCCGGAAATCATTGCTGCTGTGTGGGGCTCACATATGAAGGCATGGATACACATCTGCTAATGCGTGTTGTTTATCCTGGAACAATCTAAGGAAGGTATCCTGCGTGGGGAACATCAATGGACAAGTATCCAACAAATCTGTATTCCCATCGTAGATGCTATCACCTCCAGCACAGGTGATACGCATTGACATGAACAAACCAGCATGGTTACCTTGCCTTGCCTGGATAGACGGCTCACGTGCGAGAGAGCACTCCCTTGGAACTAAGGGGTGGTGAATGAGGCAAGGGGAGGCAGGGATGGAAAGTGAAGGAGAAGCAGCAAGTGAGTGAAGGGGTATCTCAACAACACATCTCAACAGAGGCATGGTGCCGGGCCTGAGGCGCTGCTGCTGCCCACGCAGGCTTGGGTGGGCAGGCAACATTGCAAGTGAAACGAATCGGTCTTCACAAAGATGCTCACAGCTGGCAATACACCTGAGCAGAACAAGGGTTTAACTTAGCACAGATGGGAATTTACCTGGCACAACTGGGCACAGCCGGGCTGGGCCGAGCTAGTAATTCACCTGGGCACGGTGTGAGCACGGCGGGGGTCAATCTCCGTGGCCTGTCGCAGCGCTCTGGCAAAGGCCTTGAAGGTGGCCTCTATGATGTGGTGCGTGTTGCTGCCCGCTAGCTGCGCCACGAGAGGAGGGACAATAAGGGGCGGAGACAGTGGGGAGGGTGAGGAGCAGGCAATAACATGCAGGAGAAGATGAGGCGGACGGCACAGCAGTGTTGAGAAGGAGGGAAGAGCGCAGAGAGCAGCGTGACATGAATGGTGCAGGGGGCACATGCTCAAAACACCATGTGGCACATGTGTCATGGGTGATTCACATTCACATTCACATAAAAGGAAGCAGCTGAATGTGCTGGTGAGGGCGTGACCTGGCGGATGTGCAGAGTCATGCCGCTGGTGTTGACGAGCGACTGGAAGAAATGCTCCACCAGCTGCTCTCGCCACAGGGGGCGAGGGAGGGGACCCGGGGGGGTGGGTAGGAAGGGATAGAGGGCATAGCAGCGGGGAGTGGTGAAATGGATATGGAGGTGGGCAGAGTGGGAAAGGAAGTGGCACGGGCAAGGTGGGAGGGAGGGTTGGCACATGGAGAAAGAGAGCGGGGTGAAGGGCGGCACCTGGGTGTCGTAGGTGCCGACTCTCTCTGTGGGCATGGTGACGTCAAACGACAGGTGTGGCCGCCCCGACAGGTCCTGATGCGGGCATCCGATAAGAGGGGTTGGCGGGCATGGAGGGGGGCGAGGAGGCGTCGGAGAAGCGGAGAAAGGAGTGGGTGAGAGGGTCAGATGTGGAGAGCACGGGACGGTCAACAGAGGGTAAGGGTAGAAGTGTGTACGATAAACTCTCACATGCAGCACCACGTGGATGAGCGCCTACCAGCACCACGTGGATGAGCGCCTACCAGCACCACGTGGATGAGCGCCTACCAGCACCACGTGGATGAGCGCCTACCAGCACCACGTGGATGAGCGCCTACCAGCACCACGTGGATGAGCGCCTACCAGCACCACGTGGATGAGCGCCTACCAGCACCACATGGATGAGCGCCTACCAGCACCACGTGGATGAGCGCCTACCAGCACCACGTGGATGAGCGCCTACCAGCACCACGTGGATGAGCGCCTCGTCCAGCGGCGCACAGAAGTCCCCAAAGCGCCGTACGCCCTTCCTGTCCCCCAGCGCTGCTGCCAACGCCTGCCCGGGGTGGAGAGAGCGATGGGCGGAGCACAAGGTCAGGAGGCGGGAAATGAAAGGAGAGCGAACTAGGTTATTGGTGGTGTGCACGGAACGGCGGTGTGGTGCTGCTGTGGCACCCACACAAGCAGCTTATGGTGAGTCATCCATCCTCAACAGATCCTCCGGCCTAGTGGCTGGCAGGCCATGCCATGCCACGGCATACCATAACAGGGCACGGCACACATGGGCACTGACCACAGTATGGCATGGCATGGCACGGCAACGGCATGGCATGGCATGGCATGGCATGGCATGGCATGGCAATTGCATGGCACGGCACAGCACGTGATGGAGTGGGGTGGCAGGGGGGCACTGACGGAGCCGAGGGCGAGCCCGATGTCCTCGTTGGTGTGGTGGTCGTCGATGTGCACATCGCCCTCCGCCCTCACACTCACGTCCAGCAACCCGTGTGACGCCAGCTGCTGCTGGGTGCGCAGGGGGAGAGGGGCGCCACGGGGCAGGGCAGTGTGGTGAACGGTGCACGTGGCATTGCAGGGGTGGGAGGGAGGAGTGCCCAAGGGGGGGGGAGGATGGGAAGGCGTGGGGAGGGGGGGTTACGTGGCAAATGCTCGCCCAGCAACAACAGCACGTGGCAACACGTGACTCAAACGTGCTCAGTGCCTCGCTCACGTGCACCACAAGCCCTTCATCACACGCCCCCCCAAAGCATCATGTCCCACTGACGTCCATCATGTGGTCGAGGAAGGGGATGCCCGTGGCGGAGCAGCACCGCCCCTCGCCGTCGATGGCGATCGTCACCTCCACGTCCGTCTCCTTGGTCCTCCTCGCCACCCGCGCCACTCGCTGCCCTGCTCCCGTGCTCCCATGCCATGCGCAAACAGTGGGGCCCATGGAAGCGGACTCAAAGCATGGTGCGGGAGGGGAGGCACAGGAGCAACGAAACGGATGCAGCAGGGAGGCTGATCGCGCTACCGGACTAGTGCGCGCGGCCACGTGTGCGCCACCCTCCGCTGCCCCAGGCAGCACCCGACCCATCCGTCGCCCCTCGCCGCGCAGCACTCACTCACCGTCGCTCGCCACGGGTGCCGCCCCGGCAGCTCCGCCGTTCCCGGCGGCAGCTGTGGCGTCCGCCTCTGCCATGGCGCGCGCCACGTGCATCCCGCCTCGTGAGCCTGCCCGCTGCACGAATGTGGCGGTGCGTCGCGACGAGAAGAGCGGGCAGAACGGCGCAACGTCGGAGTCCGTCGTGGCTGACGGCGTGGGTGACGCGGTGAGGGTGAGGGCGCACGGCGAAGCGGCGGAGGCGAGGAACGGGTGCGCCGCGCGGAGCGCAGCGGCGGCCGACAGAAGTTCGGCCGCGCTATGGTGGCGGGACGTGGCTCGAGAGGCGAGGGGGGTCGACGGGAGGCGCGCCGAAAGAGCCATGAATGAGTGTGATGGGAGAAGTAGTGGCAGCGGCCTGCAGGATCAGTAGGGGGAAGAGATGTGTGGATGGGTGGAAAGTGTGTGCACACATAAGCAACCCTAACGACAAAAGGCTAGAGTTACCCGAAAATCGCTTTTCATCGTTCTGAGCCACGAAGCATGAACTGTAAATGTACAACCTGCCCACATAGATCAGGACCGCGGGTTACCAGGCAAATCTTGAAGTTGTCAGAACGAACGAGTGGATCACACCTGGATCGCGGTTCGGCCACACAACACAGTGCGAGTTCAACCAAAGCCCTCGATTGGCCGACATGGCTGTCCGCAGCACCCCACCAAAGCGAAACCGCTCGCCGAAACTAGACTCCGGCCGGTTTATACAGAGTGTCGGGCCGGTTCAAAGCGGTAAAACAGCTGACACCTCCACAATTTACAGCATCCTACCAATACAGTACGCATGTGAATTCCCGCCGCCACTCCTCCACAGCTCACAGCAATACATTGAATCTCGCGGGCAAAGATCAAACTCGGGCCGAACAATAGCAGAGAAGTGGCCGAATTAGGGCCGGGTGTGTCGCACCCCTAGTACGCAGGTCCGAAGCTACCCAAGCGCCTAACCAAACAGTCCGAGCCAGGCCTACGTGTCACACCAAACCCCAAAAATAAAATGTTGACGGATTTCTCTAGTACTCCTAGCGAAATTCAACCCCAGTAAATAAAACATTTATTTTGTAGTAGTTGCCCTTACAATGAGATTGTAGCCTTAAAAGTAATATTTTACTGACGAAATAAATAAAACCCTTTACTACGGCATTTCATCGAGGAGGCATCAACCCTAAACACCACGCAACAAGGCGTTTAGGGTTTTGGCCTCTCGACGGACATAACGTCTGAGCGGGTTTTGGTATTTCTGCACAGTTTCTCCCAAATACTGGTCTTTGTGTGAAATGTTTTCTAAAAGTTTTCATCGTTTGTTCTCTGCCCAGCGTTAAAAAATACCTGACGGAATGCTCCTGCCCTAGGTCTAATCAAACAGAATTCGTCAGATTTCTGTGGTGAAACTGACGAAGCGCTTGTGTGAGCCCAGAAACTGGTTAGGGCTAGGTGCGGCCCAGGTTCGTCACCGCGCGACACACCCGGCCCTAATTTGGCCACTTCTCTGCTATTGTTCGGCCCTAATTAGATCTTTGCCCGAATCTCGCCGCCAAATTCTCCTTCCGACCGCGCGAGCCTTTCAGCCTTTCGCCTCGCTCGCACGCACTCAGCGACCACAGTATCCGCTGGCAATTTACATCTAGTGCACTCGCGCTGCGACCAGAGATCGCGGCTGCGAATGCACACGCGCCATGGCGTCGCCTCTCAGAGCCACTGCCAGCAGCGGGCGTCTCCAGCAGCGGTCGCCAACGACGCACGCCGTCGTGCCTCTCGACCAGCCGCTGCTGCCCTTCCGCCTATCGTCTCCGCTCGACTCCACCGCGTCAGTGCGCGCCGATGACTCGACGGCGTCGCTACGAACAGCGATAGATGACGAACGTCTGTCGCTCGAAGACCACGTGTCGCGCGAGGTGGAAGAAGGGCGGTGGAATCGCGCACACGCGTCGCCTACGATCCGCCCATCCCCGCCGTCCGTCCCCGCCCGCCTGCCATCCTCGCAATCCCGCTGGCCGCCACACCGCCTTCCCGCTCGCCCCGCGTTCCTCGCCCTCGTCGCCCTCCTCGCCGCGCTGCTCGCTGGCGGCTCGCTGCTGCTCTCGCGGTCACCGCTGCCGCCGCTGAGCGACCTGCTTGCGACCACCGGCGACACAGGCGACAGGCCCCCAGACGACACAGTGAGATCTGACCTGCAGGCGCAGAATGGGAGGGCGGGTGATGGGCTGGCAGCTAGTGCGATGGAAGGCGGTGAGGAGGGCGGGGCCAGCGAGGATGGCGCGGAGAGAGTAGAAGCGGAGGAGACGAGGCAGAGGGATGAGGAGGGGGACGCTGGCGCAAGAGGGGAGGCGGATGAGGTGGTGCGCGGAAAGGAGGGCGTGGGCGGAAAGGAGGGTGTGGGCGGAAAGGAGGGTGTGGGCGGAAAGGAGGGTGTGGGCGGAAAGGAGGGTGTGGGCGGAAAGGAGGGTGTGGGCGGAAAGGAGGGTGTGGGCGGAAAGGAGGGTGTGGGCGGAAAGGTGGGTGTGGGCGGAAAGGTGGGTGTGGGCGGAAAGGAGGGCGTGGGCGGTGGCGAGGGGGTGGGGAGAACGGAGAAAGCCGGAATGGCAGGGGTGGACGAGAAGGTAAGCAGGCGGAGCAGCACGAGCGGTGGGAGCAGTGGTGGGAGAGACAAGGAGCGAGTAAGGGAGGCAGGAGGACAGGAGGGTCGCGAGGGGGATGAGGAGAGCAAAACAAAGAGGAGCAAGGAGAGGCGAGGGGAGAAGCTGACGGGTAGGAGGCGAGACGACAGGAGCAGCCATCAGGAGAGTGCACTGGGGGCACCAACAGACACCACGACCCAAAGCAATGTGACTCAAGACATCGTGACCCAAGAGACTGTGATTCAAACGAACGTTACTCAAGGCAATGTGACTCAAGGCAACGAGACTCAAGACAATGTGACTCAAGGCAGTGTGACTCAAGACAATGTGACTCAAGGCAATGTGACTCAAAGCGACGCGAATGAGCAGAAAGAGTTGGTGACTGCAGCAGCTCAGACGCCCAGCGCTGAGCGTCGTGCGCCGGGCCCCTCAGCGCCATCACGAGGTGTGCCCCCCTGTCCCCCTGTCCCCCTGCCCCCCTGGCCCCCTGTCCCCTTGCCCCTCTGTCCCCCTGTCCCCCTGGCCCCCTGGCCCCCTGGCCCCGTCTCTCCCTCCCCCCCTGCCCCTCTGCCCCCCGCGCCTCTGTCTTGTGGCACCCTCTCCCCCACCTTGGCTGGTGCGGCCGGAATGAAAAGGCAGCTCTGCCGTACCCCAACCCAACCTCCGCCTCTCCCCCATCACCCTCACATCTCCCCATCCCACCACTGCCCCTCCTCGCCCCCCCACCCACCCCCAACCCCATCCCCAGCGCTGCACCCTGCGTGCGACCTGTCACAGGGCACGTGGGTACCGACCACGCGCCCCCCACTCTACTCAGGGGCCAACTGCACGTGGCTCAGCCCGCAGTGGGCGTGCCGCAGGGCCCAAGACCGCCCTTCCTTCCACCACGAGGCGCTGCAGTGGCGCCCCACACACTGCGACGTGCCGCCCTTTGACCCGCTTGACTTCCTCCACCGCCTGCGCCACCGCGCCCTCGCCTTGGTGGGGGACTCTCTCGCGCAGCAGCAGTTCCAGTCGCTGCTCTGCCTGCTCGCCTCTGCTGCGCCAGGGGGCACGGAGGACGTGGCGGGCGAGTGGGGGTTTGTGAACCTGGCGGTGAGGAGCAAGTACAAGCGCATGCGCCCCACCGGCTATGGCGTGCGCTTCCCCGCCACCAACACCACCATCCTCTTCTCCTGGTCCTCCTCCCTCTGCAAGGTGCGCGCACCATTGAGGGCACGGAGAAGGGCGTGTGTGGTGTGGGTGGCAGTCCATCCACCCGTACTGGTCCAGAATGTGCGTGATGTGGTAGTGCTCCGCCCCACCCCCTGCACTTCCCATGCTGCTCTGTTCGTGTGTGCTCTATACTCTCCTTGCCCACTCCACTCCGCACTCCTGCTCGCTCATCCCTGTTGTACCCCTGCCCTCCTTCTCCCTGCCCCCTGCCCCTTGCCCCTTGCCCCCCCAGATAGCGTACTACAACGAGAGTGACAAGCTGGAGGGCGGGGCGGCCATGCACGTGGACCAACCCGACGATTTCCTGCAGACGCACCTGGGGCGGCTGGACGTGGTCGTCATGAACAGTGCTCACCACTGGAGCAGGTGGGCGGGTGAGACTGGCATGATGCAGGGTTTACTCTTTCCGTTTGAGCAACGCATGCCGTGCTGCAGTAGCGCCAGCCATGCGCTCTTACCTTTCCTGTGCAACAACTGCACACGCCATGCTCACATGACATGACATCAGGGGCAAGGTGCGCGAGAGCAAGTGGGACGTGCACATAGCAGGGCAGCCCGTGAACATCGACGACCCTCAGCTGCACCTCGACGTGCATGTCAATGCCCCGCCGCTGCCACACGCACACCACACAGACGATAGCAGCAGCAGCAGCAACAACAACAACAGCAGCAGCAGTGAGGGCGAGAGCAGTGAGGCGACGACTGGCGGCAGCAGGGTGCTTATAGAGGGCAACGCTGACATCATGCACGCCCTGCAGCGCATCGCCCTGCGCTCCTCCATGGCCTGGCTGCACCGCCACGTCACTGCCATGGGGGGGGAAGAGGGCGAGGGTGCTACAGGGCAGGCACAGGAGACACAAGGGGGCGAGGGAGGAGAAGGGGGACTCGTCAGTGGGGAGGGTGGGGCAGGTGCAGCAGCACGGGGTGGTGGCAGCAGCAGGGGGGCGCAGAGGAGAGGGAGGGCGCCGCTGCTGCTGCTGCGCACGGCGTCCCCGCGGCACTTCTTTGACGGCGAGTGGAACACCCCTGGCCACTGCGACCACAAGCGCGTGAGTGACACAAACCCTGCCTCCCCTGCCCTCGTGAGCGTCATGACTGCATGCCATCCCTACCCTCAAGCTCATGTTCTCATGCACTCATTTCCCTTCCTAGCTCAACCCATGCCTCTCTCTAAACGCTGCTGCTGCTCCCTTTTGCCCTGCCCCTGTCACCACCCCCTTCCCCGCCCCACTGCAGGACCCCCTGTCCCTGGTGGCCGTGCTGCCCCTCAACTCATCACGCGACCCGGCAGCAGAGCAGGCGGTGGCGGGGCTGCCGTCCCTGCACCTGCTCAACACGTCGCACCTGTCATCGTTCCGCCCCGATGCACACCCGTCCCAGTGGGGGTACCTGCTGGACGGCGCCCACCAGGACTGCCTGCACTGGTGCCTGCCTGGCGTGCCCGACACCTGGAACCAACTCGTGTACGCCCACATGCTGCTCCGGGACATGCACGAGGGGGGAGAAGGGGGCGATGCGAGCAAGATGGAGGTTGGGGGGAAGAGAGGGGTGGAGGGAGGAGTGGGAGGGGGTGAGGAAAAGGGAGATGAGAGGGCAAAGAAGGAGCCAAGAAGTAGATAGTTGGTCCCATAGCTGGAATATGTAAGTTTGCTTCTGTTTAGTGTTGTAACAAATGATATTTTCATTATTTCTTGGTCCACCCCTCTGTACATGGATCGTTTGAGACAGCACAGATGCTACGAGCAGTTCAGCGCATTGCCTACCTCAAGCTAGCTGAAACCATGTCGCAGGCTAGTGGAAGTGGCAACCAGATTTGAGAGAAATACCCTGATAAAACTGCTTCAGAAGTAAGCTTGGGGCGTTTACATCGTGGGCCTGCCCTGCTACAAATTCACCCTCACTCACACCGTTCCAGGGCCTACCGCAGCATGGCCCCATGCATTTTCTCTATACAGTAAATGGTAACCACGAAAATGTACCACAGAATGGTTCAAAAGAGAGCCAATGCTCAGCTTAGTATTGGGTATTCACGAATGTAGGTCCTAAGTAGGAGCAAAAACAATCCCGCTATCCCCAGCTCGTCTAGCCTGCTTGAGGCCTACGACTAGGACTGCCTGTAACACCATCCACGGCCCCTCACAGCTCGTCGTGGTCCTCGGGCTCCTCATCCTCCTCACCACCAGCCCCAGCACCACCACTGGGCCCGCCGCCCGCCTGGTAGAGTTTGGTCATGATGGGGTTGCAGACGCCCTCCACCTCCTTGAGCTTGTCCTCGTACTCCTCCTTCTCCGCGCTCTGGTTGTCGTCCAGCCACTCCAGCGCCTCCTTCACCGCGCCCTCAATTGTCTCCTTGTCCTCATCCGAGATCTTCCCGCCCACCTTCTCCTTGTCGCCAATCGTGTTCTTCATGTTGTACACATACGTCTCCAGGGAGTTACGCGCGTCCACGCGCTCCTTGACCTTCTTGTCCTCGTCAGCAAACTCCTCGGCCTCGCGCACCATGCGCTCGATGTCGTCCTGGCTGAGGCGCCCCTTGTCGTTGGTGATGGTGATCTTCTCACTCTTGCCCGACCCCTTGTCCTCCGCCTTCACGTTCAGAATGCCGTTCGCGTCCAGCTCGAACGTGACTTCGATCTGCGGCACGCCGCGCGGGGCGGGCGGGATGCCGGTGAGGTCGAACTTGCCGAGGAGGTGGTTGTCCTTGGTCATGGCGCGCTCGCCCTCGAACACCTGGATCGACACCACCGTCTGCTGGTCCTGGTACGTCGTGAACGTCTGCGACTTCTTCGTGGGGATGACGGTGTTGCGCGTGATCAGCTTCGTCATCACGCCGCCCACCGTCTCAATGCCCAGCGTCAGCGGCGTCACGTCCAGCAGCAAAATGTCTGCCGTGACGGGCAAGTGGGGTGAGGGGGCAGCGGACAGCAAAGAGAGGTTTTGAGTCAAGAAATTATTCCGAGCCAGGCTTGGTTATTCGAGTGCTCAGTTATATTCCACTTTTGTGACAATGCTGCCCCATGTTTCACTGAAGATAGACGCGACTATTAACCCTTCAATTCACCACCGGCAACCAGCCATGAGCCCTCACTCGAGAAGTCGTACCTTTGGTCTCGTCGCCGCCCTCGCCGCTGAGGATGCCGCCCTGCACGGCCGCGCCGTACGCGACGGCCTCGTCGGGGTTGACGCCCTTGCTCGGCTCCTTGCCGTCGAAGTAGTCCTTGAGCAGCTGCTGCACCTTCGGAATCCTGCACGCGCACACAACCTCCTATGCGTCAGTGACACGTTCGGCGAAAAAAAAACAAATCAAAACGAAGAAAGAGGAAACGCAACAGACAGAAAGAAGAACCAAAAGCAAGTTAGAAACTGAATCCAATCCGGAACAGAAAATCTAAGAAGTGAGCCGCACCTGGTGCTGCCGCCGACGAGCACGATCTCGTGGATCTCCGTCTTCTGCAGCCCGGCGTCCTCCATCGCCTTCTTCACCGGCCCCATCGTCTTGCGGAACAGGTCGTTGTTCAGCTCCTCGAACCGCGCGCGCGTCAGCGGCTCCGAGAAATCCGTGCCGTCGAAGAGCGACTCGATCTCCACGCGAACCTGGTGCTGGTTGCTCAGCGCGCGCTTGGCGCGCTCCGCCTCGCGGCGCAGCTTGCCGAGCGCCTTGTTGTCCTTGCTGATGTCCTTGTTGTACTTCTTCTTGATCAGCTTGATGAAATACTCCATGATCCGCTGGTCGAAGTCCTCCCCGCCCAGATGCGTGTCGCCGTTGGTCGCCAGCACCTCGAACACGCCGCCGTCGATCGTGAGGATGCTCACGTCGAACGTGCCGCCGCCCAGGTCGAACACCAGGATGTTCTTCTCGCCGCCCTTCTTATCCATGCCGTACGCGATGGCGGCCGCCGTTGGCTCGTTGATGATGCGAGCCACGTTCAGCCCCGCGATCACGCCCGCGTCCTTGGTGGCCTGGCGCTGCGCGTCGTTGAAGTACGCGGGCACGGTGACCACGGCGTCCTTGATCTTCTTGCCCAGGTACGCCTCCGCCGTGTCCTTCATCTTGCCCAGAATCATGGCGCTCACCTCCTCGGGCGAGAACACCTTCTTCTCGCCCTTCACCTCCACCTCCACGTACGGCTTGCTGTCGCGGTTCACGATCTTGTACGGCACCAGCTTCATGTCGCGCTGCACCTCCTTGTCCGCGAACCTGCGCTCAGCGGGATTCGGAGAAATTAAAATTAGTCGGACCGGAAAACACATAAAAGAACCCGCCAAAAAAGGGAAGTGGAATTTCGATCAGTACGATCAGGAGATCCACGAAGAAAATCGGAAGAACGAAGAGAAGGGCATGGAAGGCAAATGCTCACTTGCGGCCAATGAGTCGCTTGACATCGAAGACTGTTCTCTCGGGGTTGGACGCGAACTGGTTCTTCGCCGCCTCGCCGATGAGACGCTCCGAGTCCGTGAAGGCCACCCACGAGGGCGTGATACGGTTACCCTGGTCGTTGGCGATGATCTCCACGTGGCCGTTCTTGTACACGCCCACGCACGAGTACGTGGTGCCGAGATCGATGCCGATCACCGTGCCCAGCTTCGGCGCATCATCTGCTGCCAAAGCGCAGTACGCTAAGGCGCATAGAACAAGGAACCCAAGGGCCCTTGCTGTACGAGCCATGGCTAACTGACAAGGGCAGAGCGCGCAAGCCAAGAGAAGAGTGTCTCACGAGGTGGCTGACAACGGAGGCGTGAAGAGGCCAAATCGTCAGCCTAAATCCGACAACTAATTCAGGGAGAACAAATGACTGCTTTCAAGGACGTCCGATGAGCTGAGCTTCCCGTAAAGTGAGACCGATTGGGCGGTCGGGAAAAGCGCGATCAAGATTTATCTGGGAGAGCGGGAAGAATGTTCCATTGCCACGTCGGACTGCTTCCGCGTCGCAAGACAATTCGCGAAACACCACCGAGGCGAAGCTACTTCACACTGCCTCCAGGTCCTCCACGCAGAACCACGTCGCAAACTCGGCCCCGACCAACCAGAAAGGTGCTCTCCTTGCCTCAGCCAAACCCGAAGGCTACAACACCTGTGGAGCTGTCAGCTCACGAGTTTCCAAACCAAACCAAGCTGTCCCTGCTACTGCAATTTCGTGAACGGAACACGGCTTTCAGACACGGAAAAGTATACAACAGTTGTTTTTCTTATATGTGGGAAATAAATGTATAAATATATGGTTCGCATGTGCAGTTGACGCTATTTTGCTTGTATTCTACATGCACGTGGGGTTGATAGGGCCCCCAGATACCAAAGTTTTATCACTGATTGGGGTTAAAACGGGCTGATTTTTACATACCCAAACTATGTTTTATTTTTCCTGATGTGTACCGTAATGTCAAATGTTGTAGTCTTAGTGATGTGTGTTATAGGGGGTACAACTATTAGGGTTAGGTTTATGTACCCCAACCAACCTTAGTCAAACCAACACTTTCATTCTTGACATGGTATCACCTAGGTTAGGATCCTATGGGATCCCGTTCCTCTCGTTCACGTCCGTAGCGCCCGAGCCTGTCCCGTACCCTAGTGCCCGTTACGCCCGTACGGTCCCCTAGCGCCTATCGCGCTCGTCTCTCTCGTGCCCTAGCGCCCGCTGCGCTTGCCGTCCCGTCGCCCCTGCTGTCCCATCCCGTCCCGTCGCCCCTGCTGTCCCGTCGCGTCGCCCCTGCTGTCCCGTCCCGTCCCGTCGCCCGTGCTGTCCCGTCGCGTCGACCCCTGCTGTCCCGTCGCGTCGCGCCTGTCCCTGCTGTCCCGTCGCGTCGCGCTGTCCCGCCGCGTCGCGCCGTCCGTCCCGTCCGCGTCGCGCTTCCCGTCCCGTCCCGTCGCACGCGCCCCGTGCGCCCTGCCCGTTCGTCGCGCCCCTGCTGCGCCCTGCCCGTCCGTCGCGCCCCGTGCGCCCTGCCCGTCCGTCGCGACCCCCGCTGCGCCCTGCCCGTCCGTCGCGCCCCGTGCGCCCTGCCCGTCCGTCGCGCCCCCGCTGCGCCCTGCCCGTGCGTCGCGCCCCGTGCGCCCTGCCTGTCCGCACCTGTCGCGCACGTCCCTGCCAGTTGCGTCCTGTCCCGTCGCGCAACACTGTCTGTCACGCCCTACGCAGGCCCTTTAGGCATCTAGGGTTTCGGCAACAGCGGTTACCACCTCTTAGCTTCTGCTATGGCGACCCCTAGGGTCCTGCGTTTTGACGCCGAGGGTAGGCCGCTTGAGTTCTCCGTCTGGCTCCTGCGTGCGCGCCGCCTTTTAGAGAGTCAGGTTCAGGCAGATGAGTCTCTGTGGGCACACGCTTCGGGCGACCTTCCTAAGCCCGACGACCCTGCACCCTTAGTAGCTAACCCCACACCTGCAGACAGTGACCGTTATGCACGCGAGCGTGCTGACGTGACCGCGTGGAAGTCGCGTGGCGCTGCGGCCTGCATCGCCCTCAGCAGCCTCCTCTCTGAGTCTGAGGAGACCCACTTCACTCAGGTTCGCACGGCTAGTGAGTTCCTGACTAAGATCAAGGCCCGCTACGCTACTCCCACCACTGTCTCTCTTGGTCGCCTATTCCTTCCGTTCCTGTTTCCTGACCTCGCCTCGTTTGAGCGCACTGCTGACTTGATCACTCATCTGCGCTCGCTCGATTCTAGCTACCGCGCTGCTTGCACTGACGCACAGCTTGCACTGCTCCCTCCCCCCATGGCGATTACTATCTATTTCATCGCCACTAGCCTCCCGGACCGCCTTGCCTCGGTTCGTGACGCGCTTCTTCTGAAGCACCCTAGCGAGCTCACTATCGAGGTCCTTGAGTCGGCCCTCAAGGACGTCGAGAGCAACCTCCGCTCGGTAGCATCTGCCTCTGGTGTTGTGCCCCCTCCACTATTTCACGGGTGCACTGTCCCTCAGCTGCCCACCTTTACTGCCTCCCTCGCCACTGCCGCTACTGACGTGACCGCAGCTGCTGTTACGACTTCTTCGTGGTCTTGGGGTAGGAGTGGCAGGAGGGGCGGTCAGGGTGCGGGCGGAGGCGGCGGAGGCGGTGGGGGTGACGTGGCGAGCGGCGGCGGCGGGAGTGCAGGGGCTGGAGGAGCGTCTCGTACAGCGGCCGGTGACTCCCCTGCTGCAGCTGGTGGAGGTGACGCCCGGGTTCGTCAGCCACCTACTGGTCTGCCAGCCGCAGAGGGTGGAGCAGCGGCGTGGTACCGGACTCAGCGACAGCAGCAGCAGCAGTAGCAGCAGCCCCTCCCCTTGCAGCAGCCACAGCAGCAGCAGCGGCAGCAGCAGGTTTTAGGGCAGGGGTCAGGACAGCGTCAGCTGCAGCGCGGTGTCGTCCACTCTCCCTGCACCTATCACATTCTGACAGGTGCCCGCCGCGGCCAGCCTTGTGGCCGCAGCCACCCACCAGGTCAGTGCTTTGCTCAGCTTACTGACACGGTTCGGTTGGCCTACGGCGTTGACGGCCCTGCCCCTGACTGGCTTCCCCTTGTTCAGACGTACGGCCCCGCTCTGTGGGGCATGTCGGCTTCTCAGTTGGTTGATCTCTTAGGAACTCCTCATGCTATGTATGCTGTTGTTGACTCTAGTGCTTTTGACTCTGTTTACTCGAGTGTTGTTAGCTTAGGTGCTAGTCTTGCTGAGGTGCCTGTTGCTAGTGTAGGTACTTGTGTAGACACTAGTTCAGGAGCTGCTCCGGAGGACGTTTCGCTGTCTTTCACTCTGGACTCCAGAGCTTCGCACTGTTTCTTCCGCGACCGCACGACACTTACCCCGCTTCCTACGCCGGTCTCTGTAGCACTGGCTGATCCCACTTCGGGACCAGTCACTTCTCGCTACACTACTACGCTTCCGTGCCCGGGTGTTCCCTCCGGTTCTCTGACCGGCTTCCACGTCCCCTCGTTCTCGAGGAACTTGGTGGGCGTGAGGCCGCTCGTGAGTCAGCACGTGGGTGTGTGGATTGAGCCTTCTGGCGAGACTGCGGTTCGTGTCGACGGGGACACGTACGCGCCTCTCGCCACCTTTACCGCTGAGCCGGGCTCTGGTCTCTACACACTTCACACTGGCCCCCGAGGGCAGCAGCAGTGGCAGCAGCAGCAGCAGCGGCAGCAGCTACTGCCCCCGACCCCTGTCACTGCCCCCCGTCAGGTTCCCGCGTCTCACCAGGTTGCCGCGTCTCCCTAGTGTGAAAGTTTAAAATAAAGAAGAGGAGGTTGCACTAGCAAGAATGAGGATACAAATAGCAAACCCTAGAAGGGTTGTACTCGCTATAGAGCACCCCACTACAGGCTAGAGCATAATATTCTAACACACCCCCATAGCCAAAGTGGGGTGTAATCAGCAGAGCAAGTAAAGCAGTACAAGCTCAGGGTGGATCACAATGTCACCACACATTCTGAGCACAAGTTCAAGAAGCAATAGTTTAAAGTTCACAATTATGAGCAAAGCTAGTGGTAGTCACAGAGGGCAAGTGAGGAGGAGGAGAGACTGTGGGGGAGAGAAGATGGGAGGCGACTGCTGACGCTGCAGACACACAGACGAGCTGCTCGCTCAGTGGCTACCGAAGCAAAGGCCCGGACTACAGGAGTAACTGGCTCCGCGGCTAAAAGTAGCGGCAGACGAGCAACTGACCCACAGGCGACTGGCGACTACCGGAGATTGTAGCCTCCGGACTGCTGGTGCTGCTGACGACAAGACTGCTGCCTCCACTTAACCTCCCCCAGCTGCCCAACACCCCTCTCACACACCCGCTGCTACACCGCTAGCTCCACTCCCCCTTCACCCCCCCTTAGTACCACTCCAACGGCTCCAACAAGTCCACCCCCCCTCAGCGGCAGCTGCAGCACAGGGAGACGGAGGAGGAGGAGGAGCAGGGAACGGCACACAGTGGCTTCACCCCCATACCCCTCACCCCCAAACCCTAATTCAGGAGAACGGGCTGTAGGAGGGGTGGGGCGCCAGTAGAAGTACGGGGGACAGCGGGGAGGGCAGGGGCAGCGAGGAAAGGGCCGCCCACGGGCCTGGCACAGCCGCCCGAACCGCGCGCAGGCGGCCCGAGCCGCGCGCGGGCCTGGCGCAGCCCGTACGGGCCGCGCGCGGGCCTGGCGCAGCCCGTACGGGCCGCGCGCTGGCCTGGCGCAGCCCGTACGGGTCGCGTCCGGGCCTGGCGCAGCCCCGACGGGCCGCGCGCAGCCTGTACGGGCCGCGCGCAGGCCACGACGGGCGACGGGGGGCGACGCGCGGGTCCCCGTCGCCCGTCGCAGCGCCTCCCGAGGGCGACGCGCCGAGTGACGGGGCAGAAGCCCGCCGCGCGCCTCGGGGCGCACAGCGGGCAGAGAACCGCCGCGCGCCACGGGGCGCACGGCGGGCAGAAAACCGCCGCGCGCCTCGGGGCGCACGGCGGGAAGAAAAACTGCCGCACGCCACGGGGCGTGCGGCACAGAGGGTAGCAGTGGAAGTTGCAGCGGAAGCAACGAGGTGGTGAGACCACCCACAGGATCGATCCAAGGGGATCGACCTGCTCTGATAGCATGTGAAAGTTTAAAAGAAAGAAGAGGAGGTTGCACTAGCAAGAATGAGGATACAAATAGCAAACCCTAGAAGGGTTGTACTCGCTATAGAGCACCCCACTACAGGCTAGAGCATAATATTCTGACACCTAG